CATACAAGATTATAAGGAAGGTGGGACCTGTTGCATATGAGTTGGAACTCCCTGTAACTGCTAAGGTTCACCCTGTCTTCCATATATCACTGCTGCGTCCTGCTCATGGGCAACCACCCTCACACCCCCCAGCTGATTTACCTATTTCTGCTGATTTTGAGCTGCTGTTAGAGCCTGAATCAGTGCTGTCTCACCGTTGGAAAGGTCCTCATTTGGAGCTACTGATTGGCTGGAAAGCTAGACCAAAGGAGGAAGCAAGTTGGGAAGATTATGATCTGTTACAGCAGCAATATCCTTCCTTTCGCCTTGAGGACAAGTCGAGTTTTCAGGGGGGGAGTAATGATAAGAACCCAAATAAGCCAACCTTGGTTTATCAGAGGCGGAATAAGGGGAGTTAGTTAAAGTCTGACTTGGTCTTGTTCTATTTAATTATTCAAATTCATTTTAGTTGTGTTTATTGAGTCAGTTAGCAAAATAAGAGGACTAATGGGTCTATCACGTGTCCTATTTCATTGTAATCCCGAAAATGTAGGGATATTCAGTTATTTCATGATTGTTGCAGTGTCAGTCGACTTTATAAATATGTCAACTCTATTACTAGCTAGGATATGAGTGAAATATAATCTGAATTTCATATCCCAGAGATTCTCTTGGGCTATCTTCTTTACTTATAGTGAGATACTTGCTGTGAGAGATTAGATAGTGTTCTTTTCTTTTCGGTTACCTTAAATTTTTCCAGACAGAGTACCTATCACACTCCTTCCTTTTGGTCCCTGCCTTCTGCTTCTGCACTCACTCCCCTCACCCACCCCCTCTTTTTCCTTTTCTTTATTCCTACTTCATCCCCTCACACAAACACATGCAGCCAAGCCCCGCTCTTATTTTAAGGTTAGGAAGTAGGAAGGGAGTGAGTGTGGTGAGAAATCTTTTTCAGAATATATGACACAGCTGAAGAGAGGAGAGGAGGGAGGAATATAATTTTAAAATATATATATGGCTATAGGGGTAGGGATCTGGATTCTCTAAAACGTAGCATTGGAGAGACTGTGTGGGATGTTGTTGACTGAATTCATCCTCTTGACTTTCAGAGGATCAGATCCTGAGCCTGAGGTTATAACTAAAAAATATGATACTGCTAACAGGAGTAGACTAGTAGTAGATGATACCGGGCATTTGAACTGGTCAACTGAGCTAGTTTTGCTAAAAGGGTTGAAGGATAAACAAAGGTGCACGTGGCATGAAATCGGGCCGATGGGCCTGGAGAAAGATAGATCTGGGAGAGGTGCCGACGTGTAATCGCTTCGAGCATGAAACGTTAAGCCTGGGAAAACTAAACATGAATTAAAGCCTCCTTTATCGCTAAGTTATAAAGATGCCTCTCCTCCTTTGTTCCCAATCCCACCTTTTTGTTTTCATTATCACACCATTTTTATGCGCCATTTTCGTCGCTCAATAATAGCTTCTACTAATTTAAAAAAAAAAAAAAACCGCGTTAACTATATATAGCTATACGTACAAAAACAGCGATGTGTTAATTACCCTCGAACGGACAAAGGCTAAAACCAGTTTTACGCGTGCGTGCGTGCGTGTTATGGAGGTGGCTCTTGGTAACAGGGAAGATAAAATAAATAAATAGAGAAATTTTGAGTACACAGAAACTGAGAAGCGAAGGAAAGGTGAGAGAAACGAAGGGGGGGTAGCTGATGGGAAAGGCACGACAGAGAGGGCTTAAGGTTGAGTCACTCGCAATAAATTGCATATCAATCAATCAAATATATATAATAAGCAAGTAACAGCTGCCTATCCTATATATGCCGTCCATCAAAACCACTGTGTGCTTCCTGCATCCATCCCTCTAATTCACATTACTTATAATAATAATCATCATTTAGATTAATTTTTTGAGAGAAATTTTACGAAAGGGTTTTATCTAAATTTGCGTAAAGCTTCTTTCCTATGTCAAATATCAACACTCCCTAGCTAATCTCTATCTTTTCCCCTCCTGTACGGATAAAAATAAGTTACACTGGATTAGGTTTTAGCTAAATATAGGTTTGCGATTAATATTTAAAGTCTGAGCCAGTTTTTTTTTTTTTAAGACCTGAGCTTTAGCTTCAAATGACCTAATAAGACTTGAAACCTATTTAAAAGGCTATTTAAAATGTAGGTTTTTAAATAAATTTAAAAATATATACCTCCATGCAGGAGCATGTCAAAGCCATAAACGAAGCTATAGCTTTGACTAACCATACAGGTCTTGTCAATGAAACTCTTAGGAATCTCAACATAGGATGATCTTGCTGTTTTTGTATTTACTGTTTCTTTCTCGATTCTTTTGAACCCTATACATTTTTTTTTGAGTAATGGATATTTTTTCACTCAAAAAAAAAATCTATGTCTCGACATTTATATATAACCTCTTAAATCTATTTAAAAATCTGTGTTATGCTTTAGCAAACAACAAAAATTAGGAGAGAAGAAGTGAGCTAACACTGACATATTGAGCGGTCGAAAAAAAGAGAGGTAGAGATGAATAGCTAATGAATGAAAAGGGACTGATTTTATATAGGAATGTTATGATGTGAAACTTATGGTCAAGCTAAAATTTGTAATTTTATAAATAATTTATAAAATTGATTTATATCATATAATATATAATAATACAAATTTAATAAAAAAACTAAATAGGTCAAACTCATAGGTTTGTAGGTTAAGCCTTATGAAAATAGGCCTAATCTATTTGTTTAAACAGGCCTGAATATCAACCTGACCTATTTACTAAATAGGCTAAGCTAGCTTTTATGTAGGCTAGATTTTATGCTCTTGATAGGGATTAACCTATTTCCATCCCCACCCCACCCTTCTAATCTCATTTATCTCTACAAGAACACAAGTACATCATCTACCTCTATATCACCCAATTTCACCCATCAATTCCAATATAAAAGTATGTAGACTCGGTTTAGATAAAATTTGCTCAAATGATGTATCCTCGAAAATCTAAATGGAAGTTTAAAGGTATTACAACTTTTTTTTTTGGGACCAGCAAGGTATTACAACTTAGAAACATGCGAATGCATCAATATAAAATATAAATTTAGCTAGGAGTAGTAATATATGCTATAAACAATTTGATTGCTTTTAATGAAAACTCAATGTAGCTCCTTTGTAGACATTTTTATTATATCAACATGGCTTAATTATTCTATTTCTATAATTTTTCTCGGCATGGCACATGGAGATGGAGAGATGAGTAAATACACTGGAAAAGAAAAAAAAAAAAGAAAAGGAGGGGGAGAGACGATGGGTGAGAAGACGAGAGTGCCCCTAGGGAGGAGACAGTACGGGAGTGGTGACAATAGGGTTGACGCGCACGGTACACGGACGTGTGCTTCAGAAAAATATACAGTAATCATTGCGTTTGCCAGCAAAAGCCTGATCCTCCCCTTAACCATCCCCCTGGCCTTTATGATCTTTTTCTTCTTTTCTCATTTTAAATACAAATGCATACCACCTCCTACCAATTTACTCCAATCTTGTGGTACCTTGTACCGTAACATTTGTGATCTGCCCACCTCGTGATCTCATCATTTTCATCCTTAATTTCCCCATTCTCTCATTATTTCCATGAGTGGCTAATCTTATTTTAATTTCATCTTCAAATGCAACTTTAACGTTATTTGGTATGAGAATATCAGAGGGGATGGGAAAAATAATTCTAACAAGTTCATTTAAAATTTTTTTAAAAAATATATAGTTAAAACTTTTAATTAGTTTTCTTACTCTTTATTTTTCGTCTTCTCTGTATTAAAATTTTATAAACCCATTTTTTTCATTTTTAAACTGTAGTTATTAATTTTTTTTCTTTCTCATCCCCTCTAATTCTCTTGTGCCCCAAAAGAAAAGGTTTATATCAATTTTTTTATATTTACTATATCAAATTCTTTAGTCATATATGACTATATGTCTTTTTTTTTATTTCATACTAATATTTTAAAAATATGACATATGGTTAACTGTGATTAGAAAACTTAACACAATAAATGTAAATAATTTGATATAAATATTTTTTTCATACCAAACATAGGTAACCTTCAAATTTTTTTTTTTGGTTGACTGGAACGCGAGGCATGCATAGTTCCAGAACATTCATAATTGACAAGCCAAGGACTAATCGTTGGCAATCCAATTCCTTTCATCTGATTTTTATCTCAGATTATGATTGCGTGTGCGGCAGTATTAAGCAGCCAGGTTCGGCCATTTTTATATAAGGCAATTATTTATTTAAATGTTATTTCCTGTAAACAAGTACTGTGAAGCTCCGTAAATATTAAATTTTAATGACTGGCCGATAAAATAACTAATCAGTGATCCGGTCAACTAGATAAAATTTGACCGTATAAATTATTATTAATTACTGAAATAAAAATGGATACGAGAAAATTATGGTAATATCTCCTCAAAGGATTGCATTGGGGTGGTTATCATTTGCATTTTGCATTCAACTCCTATTTTGGGAAAAGCTATTATTTGAATAGTCGAACTTGAAAGTAGCAAACGAAAAAAAAACAAAAACTAAAAAAAAAGCTATATTAAATTGAATCACCCTCACCTCCACTGTATGTTTACTTGTAAATTGAGTTAGAGTTAACGTACGACGCAGATGCGTATTTTTCAAAAAAAGTGAGTAAATAACTGAGTCTCGGGATTCAATACCATAATATAAATATGTAAAAAAAATATTTTTTTTCTCATATTTCACAATAATAGGATAAAAATATATTAAAGAAATCTGATTTACGTATTAAAGAGTTTTTTTTTAACAATGAAAAAGCATAAAGGTGGGAATAATAATAATAAATAATAGGGGATTGACTGAGTAGGCCGGGTCGAAAAGAAAGAGACGAAGCCAGGCCCTAACGCTGCTTGCTTGTAGCAGTGGCGCTGAAGAAAGTAGAAAAGGCACCGTCTCCATCAATTTCCTCCCACTCGCCCTCCACCTCCTCACCGTTCTCTTCTGCATATTCTATTTCTATTGCACGCAGTCTCGCCTCCATTCACAGACCTCAGTGAGCTCTCTCTCTCTGTCTCCCCATCTCTTTCCTTTTTTTTTTCCTTCTCTCTTCTTATATTTGTGTAGTCTGTTTTGATTAGTTTCCTTCATACATATGAACGTTTACGAATTTGGGTCATCAAACCATGAATAGATCTCATCATATCCCCTCCTTCAAACTTCAGCAGCACGCAAATGACGCCATATCCGGATCCCACCGGTGCAACGTGATTTTTTTTATTCGAGATTTTTTGGTGATGAATATGCATATATTTAAAATTCTTTTTTCCCTTCTGCTCTTATTCGTTCTTCTTGTTTTAAAATTTCATTGGGGGCTTTGGGCAGTTCTGCGGATTAAAAATCATCGTTTTGACTCGTCTCATGCCGATTCCTTTTCGAGAACGATATTGGCTTTGATTATGAGACAGACTCTTTGATAGACTTGGGGTATTTTTAATTATTATTATTCGTCGAATTTTTTAATGTATAATAAACAATCGCCGTATGAAGCTTCATTGAATTATCGCCCATTTATTTGTCTGTGCGTTTCCTCATTTCCATGTTTGATTATACTATTATATACTGCCAATATTTAATTGCACGCCCATCTGATTCTCTATCTTTCGCTTCAAAGTTTAAACCTCTTTGTTGAAATAACAGTACCTACTGTTTAATGCTGCACGTTTAATTGAGAGAGACAAATAAGATCGTTGGGTATCTTTCTTTCTTTGTTTTTTTTTATTAGCAGTTGTCTCAGTGGAGATCGAGAAATGTCATCATCGAATTCTCCGTGCGCTGCGTGCAAGTGCCTGAGGCGGAAATGCACGCAAGAATGCGTGTTCGCACCGTACTTCCCACCGGACAATCCTCAGAGGTTCGCTTGCGTCCACAGGGTATTCGGGGCAAGCAATGTCGCTAAGCTTCTCAATGAGCTGAACGCTTCGCAGAGAGACGACGCCGTCAAGTCCCTGGCTTACGAAGCCGAGGCCCGTCTCCGGGACCCAGTCTATGGTTGTGTGGGTCTCATCTCCATCCTCCAGCACAGGCTCAGGCTGATCCAAGTGGAACTCAACAATGCCAAGAAGGAGCTCGCCACGTATATTGGACCTCAGGCTCTTCAGTCCATGCCTCCCACCATTCTAGCGCCTTCTGGAATGATCCCACAGCAACACCCAACCAACCCATATTCTTCCACCACCGGTTATCCCTACAACAACATGCCACCGCCTGCGCCTATGACCAATATTCCAGCCAGTGGCTCTTCTCATAGCGGCCAACTGGTACTTCGTGACCCTTCCCAACAGCACCAGATCTTGGACGCTCAGCAGTTGGCCGCGGCCGTGGCGGCGAGAGAGCAACAAGATATGTTTCGGGGTTACGAGCAGCAGCAGCAGCAACAAGAGTTTCTGAGATTCAATGGTGGATACGATGTGGGCTCGGTTTCTGGGAGTGGATTCAACAATCATATTTCTTCAACTGCTGCTCCTAGCGACATGTCTCCTTCCTTGGCTCTCGGCTCCTTCGACAGCCCTTACGGCGGCCAGATGCAACCGCCACAGACGGAGCACCACCACCACCAGCTTCAAGCTCAGCTAATGCTTTCCCCCCAGCAGCCGCCACCACAGCAACAAAGCCAGCAGTCACAGCAAGCCCACCAGCAGCTACAGTCAGAAAGCGAGGAGGGTAGGAGTGGCATCTGCCTTTCTAGTTGATCTTTCCATTTTTGCAGCACTAGCGCCTGCCCCGCCTGTTTAGTCAACCAATCTTCAGCCTAGGTATTTTTGTTTTGTCTGTTTTCATCTCTTAAATCTTTAATGCCTGCGAAAAATTTAATGGGTTTCCTTTTTGCCGAGCAAACCGCCCCTTTGTTGTAATCTATATGGATGTTGATGTAGGCCTATCGATCTTGTGGATTTTCCTAATTTTTTGATTCTCTGCATTTATGATGGAGTTCTAGTACTCTCTACTCTCTTTTCTTTGTTTTCTTGGTATGTATCATTTGCTAGCTCTTTCATAACTGTGGCAATAGGGTTTGGTGGGAGCAGAAAGTTTTTGCAAGTACTCATATCATAAAGCATACAAAGAGTAGGTTAGGGGAATGGTCTCTTTTCACAACGAAGGATGTCCCGTTCCCCAATTATGAGCAGTAATAATTTATGGCCAGTTTGGATATTTGTTGCCGTTTATTTATGTCTGTCTTTATTTATTTTGAACTCTGACTTCCTTCTGAATTGTGTTTAAAGAAAGAGCTATATTGTGGTGTGAACTCTGAATTATTGAGGAAAAAATGACTTTAACTGTAGGCGTGCGTATATAATTGGCATTCGGCAACATGTCAAATCCAAGACCTTGGCCTCGGCTATCAGATTTGCTCTCATTCGTTTTTTTGTCCCCTGAATACCACATTAGCCTCAGTGTGATTGTTCTTTTCTACCTAATGAAAGAGAAATATAAAAATTTTATTCTCTGAAAGAGAATTTGATGAAACCGACATGTCAGCCAAAAAAGTTGGTATAATGTAGAAGACTTTTCGAAAGGCCGGGCTCAACAGGTTTTGTCTGCTTCTGTGTGGCATCCATATATTTCCAGTCTAAGTTATTAGATGATCCAAACTAGTATTGAAAACATATTATCTTGATTATATTGTCATCAATTTTCGTGAATATTGGTAGTTTGAAATAATGTATTAATGTGTGTTCGTGTATTGCGTCTCGTTGAAACAAAAAGGCTCGGCGGCATTCTACTTTCTCTGCTGAACTTTTTCGCAGGGGCATCCAAATTAGCATCAAATAGGAAATACTTTTGAATTGCATGAATAGTTCATTTATTTAATTAATGTAATCACACGCCCAATTTGAAGGTGAATTCCGAAATGCAGATATATATCCAGTGTGGTATTTTACATCTCTGAACTGAATTCCTTTCTTTGTCCCTCTCTCATGCAGTTCTTGCCTGTCAGATACATATAAATAAAAAGAACGATCCAGAGGAGTAGAGCATACATGTGAGATTCAATCCTCCCTCCTTTTTTTGGGTACATATACAAAGAAGACTCTCGGGGTGGACATGTTTTAAAGTGTGCTTAGAAATGCTTTAGTAAACCGTAGTTGCTTTCTGCCCCCTCAAAATATTTTGTCTGCTATAGATTTTGGTTTTGGTTCTCAGTTACCCTATTTCTTCTTTCTTTTCTCTGATTGAAAACATAATTCATTTCTGCATCAAGCACGCTATATACACTCCTTGCTTTAGAAAACAATTCAGATCATCCTTCGTAGTTTTTCAGTTGTCATATCTTGAAAGCTTGGCATAATCTTCAATTAATTAGTGTAATCTTTCCTCCGGTTCTGTTCGTTATAATTATTATTTTGAACAATATGCAGATACATACCACAAAGTCAAAAATTAGCTCATATTGAGCGCTTGAAAGATACAAAAGCTTCACGCCATTGCAAAACATGCTGTCCCGTAATTTGTTAACAGCCGACAATTTAAAATTTGTCCATCAATCATAATTTTCCGGATGGTTGACCAACTATTATGTACTTAATCTTTTCTCTCTTTACCCCGGGAAATTTGCATTTGCATGGAATAAATAAAAGAGTGCCAAATATTCTTTTATTAATAATGAAATACGTGATCATCTTCCAACCGTGGGCTTCTCACAAATTTCGTAGTTTGGATCTAATGACCTTGCATGCATGTGCTTTGCCTTAAATACAATGTCATTTCACTGTAAATATTGTTGTCATGCCTTGGATCTTTCAATCTCATATGGGGAACCTTTTTCGAGGTCCACGTAATAACTCACTTGCATGCTGCATTTCTGCGGAGCTATAATAATATTGGGTCAGTATACCTCTAACTAACCGATATTTCTCAGGCATGCTATGTAATTAGTCTCTAGTAGTATTCTTTAATGATTAATCCCAAGATAAGCCTTTGCCTTCATGGGAATGCACCAACTTCTAGCAAAAGAACTGACAAAAAGGAAACTAACAAAAAATAATATTTCAGTAATTTATTGTATTTATATAGGGAAACTACATGTCATTGGTTTTTTTTATTGTTATTCAATCACAACAAGGTGCAAAGAATTTTGCGTTAGACATGAAAATGTTAAAGTGAAAAAAATGGTGTCCCATTTACTTAGGATTAAAATCAAGTCATGTTTAATTTCAGATTTATTTGTTAATAGTATATGACCCTAAAATAGGTGCCCTTTTTCTTTCCAATAAAACAAGATCTCTGTGTTAACAAAGTGTGGTCGTCTTTAATCTTTCGTGGTATGCTCCTTTTAGTCCAAATAAATTGCACCGGCATGAAAAGACATGCTCCTCGCGTGTATACTAAAGATGTTACTCCCACGAATCGTTTTTATATATAATTTGAATAGGTTTGTTTCTTTTTATAAATTTAAACATCTAATATTTTTTTGTTTTCCTTCCAATTAATTATATATTTCTCTCTCATCTTTTTTTCCTACTCATTCTCTCTCCCCTGCTCATACTCGCTATAAATTTTATGCATGTAAATACCTGTCCCTAGTTTTGATTTGCTTCCAGATATATTACAGCTCCATCGAAGTACTTGCGGGTTTCTTTCAAATTTATCAATCAATATTCTAATGTTCAATGAGTTCTTCAATCCGACATCGATCTGAACGTTTAACCCCACATTTTAGATTTATCGATTTATGGGTGACTTGAGATTCTCTTTTGAAGCTCAATTTCTGGCCGTGCAAGTTGAAGTAACATAATTAAAAATGTCTTCTCATCATCATACAAGGAATACTTTTTAGATTGTACAGATGACATGTAATGTAGTTGTTAATAACGATTGTTCGAAGTTGCCAACATGTGATCACTACAGAACTTTCTTTTACGGGCTACGCTAAGCTCAATAATGATAGTTCTGTGAAGGAACATGGCCATGGAGGTTGTGGGGGTGTTGTCCAAGACAACCAAGGTAACTGGGTCAGGGCCTTTATCATGAAACTGGAAGCGTGTTTTTGCTAGGGAGGCTGAAAAATGGGAATTGCTTGGGGGTTGGAGCAAGGCTTGGTTCTAGGAAGATCAAATTTTAGCCTTTTAGTATTATCGATGTCTCTGCTTCATTAGGTGTAATCTAAAAGATTATTGTAAGAAATCAATTGACAGGCAGGTGTCAGTTTTAACTTCAGTGATTACCCAAAAAGAAAAAATCTCAGTTGATTTTGGTAAGAAATCAAAGACAGAGTAGGTCAAAAGAAACAGAAAATAGACAACTAGGTAACTTCATTCAGGTAAAAATAAGTAATTTAGATGCACAAGCACCACGCAGACGAGAATAAAGATAACACCTTAGAAGACAGAGTCTGATACAAACAAGGCAGAAGGGGATGAACAAGCAGCATGGCATGCTTCAAAATTGTAACCATCCCAAACTCACCTTCAAAAGTTGCATTCGCTGAGCACGTTTTCTAATCTAATCTGAATCGGATGAGAACTGAGGAGGAGACAATGATGCGACCATTTTTGACAACATCTCTTCCATTTCCACCAATTCTTCCTTTCCAAATCCCCAACTGCTAAGTAACTGCGCTCCAATTGCTCCCCTCTCAATTCCAAACCGGCGTAGGTTCCGCAATCTAGTTTCCAAAAAAGGCAAGATAGCACTGTTGGAACGTAATCGGGCAGCCATGGGTAAGGAATGAACATCAAGGGACCCTTTCCTTGATGCATCAGTCATCTGACCACTAATCAGTTCACCACGCTGGCCAACAAGGTTACCAAATATTGATGGGAAAGGCAAGGGGATAGGGAGGGGACAAAGAGCAGCAGATAGATGGCAGAACATCGGCCTCATATTGGAACGCTCAAAAGCAGCATGAATCATATCTTTTACTTCAGAAACTGATGCCCGATGACCAGCTATTGAATCAAAACAACCAAAATCAGTCCGGAAAAAAAAAAAATCAGAAAACAGAAATTTTTTGGAGTAGTAGAATAACTACAGAATCTGAGAACAAATATAGAAACGAATAATGCAAACCAATTCATACAGACCCATTTATTGCTAGAGCAATCTGCGTATAAGGTTCTTGCACTTATCTCTCTTATTTCATAAGAACTCTTCTCTCACTTTGGCATTTCAATCACAATTATCTTTGGAATTATCCGGCTGATATGATCAAATATCACTTGTTAGGCTAGATTTCAGCAGATTACCCAGAAAAATGAAAATTTTGGTTGTTACTGATGTTCCACGATAGGGTTCCATTAAGTGCTTCAGCCCTAACATAACATAAGTTCACACGTTTGTGCCTTTTCTTCATATTGAAATAGACAACTGCATGTGTTTCACTTTTATTTTATCTTTTGGACAGACGCACATCTCTGCCACGTAAACCTGATTGACGGACAGGAAAAGATATGCTGAAACCTTCTCCCTTTTACAGTGCATAGTTAGGAGCAAAGACGAACCAAAGAAGAATAAGACAAAAATAAACATATTTAACAATTAAATCACTATAGCCTATACCCGATGCAAGAGCTCCATGAACTGTGAGGCACTCAACTGCTAGCATGTCTTCAACATCCTCTTCTACATGTGGCGTCAATGGCTGCAAATTCTCTAACAAAGACTGTTCATTATCTCCTGAAATTTAGAAATAAGTTAAATTAAATACATTTTTTATTCCAAAACATCTTAATTATCAGGATTGACATAATTCAATATCTACCAGTCAAAGCAGGTGCTGGCATGGCAACATCCAAAATTGAAACCATATTCTGCCTTCCCTGCCCTGATAACATTTGTATGACTCCATTAACATCAACAGCCCCAGAAAAAGAACACGCATTTGAAGTAGGCCCGACTGGTGCCATTCGGAAAGGAAGACTAATAGAGTGCAGAGCAGCAGCATATACAGCGCTTGAGTGATAAGGCTTCTCATCATTAATACGGAGGAATTTGGAAGCTTTACCTGTTAAATGACGTTAAACAGAAATTTATCTGAATAAAGACCTTCATATTAGAACAAAATACAACACGATTTGAGGTGAATAACTCCACACAATCTTGATTGATAAATTATCAGTACGTTAAACATCAGAATATATTATAAGGAGGAGGGTGAAGGAGGCAGGAGAAGTAGAGAGAAACAGATATTTATCTCGAGGTCTTCTTTTCTTTTCATTTTCTGTTTTTGAACGAGGTTTTGAAGCAAAGCCTTGTGATCTTCTTAATTTAAACTATGAAACAATGGGCCAATGGCTTTGGTGATGAGCACAAGACGAAGGAATAGGCCCAAGAGAGATCTTCCATTACAGAACCTAACAGAATTTGAAACACAACATCTACCCACCATGACCTAGACAGCTACCCAATGGTTTTGTAGATGGGTCCAGCTGCTGAAGTTGCTCTATATCCCCATACCCGTTCGGAGAAACAAAGAAAGCTAAACACCCCACCCCCCCCCCCCCAACAAAAAAGAAAAAAAAACATAACGTGGGGTCCATCACTGAACATAACTAACTCGTATGTTTATTATTATTTACATAACAGGTTTCAATACTTGTCTCTCCGGATCTAGAAGTTAGCTAATTTATTATGTCCACATATGGGTTTTACTTGCAACAACCCATCAAACTCTATATTTTAATTTAGCAGGTGCGTTCACAATTCATAGCCCAAAAAAGCAACTGATTCAAGGGTTGACGCCTCTCCTATTGCCTGTAGGTCTAATCCTCCATAACACATGTATATTAGAACTGTGATCGCCAATCTTCAACCTCCTAATTCACTCAAGAAAACCCTAAATATATATGTTATACATGAAGTCTTCCAGTATCATAAAACAAAGTGATGAATCATCCACATCAGAGTAATTTCGGATTATGGAGGTTCTTACTGGAGCTTAAGATGGGCAGACCAATTGGCACAATAAGTTTAGAGTAGGATGACAATCTTGAAAATGATACAGCATCATGAAGATCCCCAGAGATTGTATGCTTCCTGCTCTGAAGCCTTGAGTTTGAACCTGGACCTCGGGCAGCATATAGCATTACAGGAGTGTTAGTATAGTCATCTACAAGGTTCTCTAGAAACTCCACAGCAACAGCAGAGAAACCTCCTGAATCATCAACAATGAACTGAATCCCCTGCCAAAGTAGCCAACATTCAGAGATGGTTTTCAGAACATCAAACCAAAACGACTTCGCTTCTCAGGGCCTATTATTGGCTACAATAAAAACATACAAATATGGAGCAGCTTCCAAATATTAATATATTATCATATTATCAAGCTGTAAAATCTCACGATAAAGTCTGAACAAGAAAAGCAAATAATCCTCGAAAGTTCTAGATGGCCAATCATGCATAAAATCTATATGGGGCTATGATATTGAAAGGCCAGAATAGATTTTGAATTTTCAGGAATACCTTTCTTATGTTGACAAGGGATACTCCTGAGGTAATAGAATATAGAATTCATAAAAATATGCCTTGAGAAGGTTAATCAGACCAAAAAACATAAATAGAAAGGGAAGTTAAAGTTTACGCATGAAAAGGACCATACAGGGAAAAATCAAAATAGAAATTGAATGAGGACAATTAAGTTGTTTTTGTTTTCTATTTTGTTGGAATTAAAGCTTAAATTTTTAGTCATCCTTTGGGTATCAATTTATGTGTTTTAAGGTCAGCTTAAGTGAAACATAAGATAGGTTTCATTGTTCTGTTTAGATTAGGACCCAGCTTTGAGGAGTTAAATCTTTTCTTTGCAGCAGAATTCTATTCTTTTCTTTTTTTATCTTCTATAAATGAAACATTGCTTCCATCTAATAGAGTAAGTTCAGGGGAAATTAAATTCTGAATTTTTACAGGGTCAATAATACAACTTCTATTCATTACTTCACTACAAGGATTAAAGATTAATGAGGAGCATCCCACCCAGACAAAAACACGATCAAATACAGGATAAGCTTCAAGTAATCCATATACCTGCATATGGTCGCACTCTTCAACAAAAAATCGAAGCCTGTCACTGATTTCTTCACCCTGCGAAGTCCAAGCAAAGGAATCCCTTCCGATTCCATAATTGTCAAACTCTTCCACATCCATCCAAGCTCCACTTAATTCATATAGACTTTGGGGGTGATAATGTACTTTTGAGTAGTCTGTCCAAAATTGTACACCATTTTCTAGAGAATCAACTATGTCCTTATCCTGATACGCTCTTTGTGAACCAGTACTTCCACCATTTGTCTCATTTGCCACATTCAAATTTTGATCTTCTTCATAAAGACTTTGCAAGAACAAATTTCTTTTATGGTGTTCAGTAGCATGGGTAGAAATCTTACCGGTCCTGCAGGTTGGTCTACTGGCATTTAGCTTATTTGCAGGTAACAATGTTTCTTACTATCATGAGAATTCAATTTTGTAAGCAAAACATTTAGGTATTCAGGATAATGTTCAACAGTTGGATATTTGATATATCAGGATTTCACTTGATCAAAGAGTGAATGGAAGCAAAATATCAGTACAAATTTGTTACTTCAGAATATTATGATATATTACAATGTCGGGGAAAATATCTGAAATTTCCAAATCAACTGTAATTAGAAATATGACATGACACTGCATAGAATAACAGTGAGAAAGGTCTCACCAGGAGACGACATCTGATGCTATGGTTGCGTCATCATTATATAATGTCCCACGTGAACTCATAGATCCAAGGGATCCTGAAATAATAAACAGATCCAGCAAATAAGGCCTTCAAATATGTTTCAATCCCATCAAAAGTGGACAGCTAAAAATTTGCTTAATGAAAATCAACAATCTCACGAAACTATGCCACCATCAATACTCACACATACAACTTAAAAATTCAGGTTCTTTATTTAAAATTTTCCAAGCCCCCTGGTAAATACAGGAAAATAAGTTTCTTAGTGTTTTTAGCCACAAACCAGCATTAACAAGTTTTAATAAGATTCCTCCTGCTGATTGACAATGCTTTCAAGCCCCCTTGAAACATATTTAATAATTATGGCGTAACCATATTACTCAATCAATTATCGTGGTTTGCATTTTTATTACTGTTTTCCTACCAACTTAACATTCTCAGCTGATCAGATATCAGCATCACAACATCAAGACTGTAACTAATGAGCCTTAACTTCAAATACAATTGTTCCGCCATATATAGTTTCAAATTATTAATCCAGGTTCTCTTTCAGAGTTTATAGTCCGATTTATGACAAATAAGTAATTACTAATCCTTAGCAACCAAGATTATCAGCATACACTATCAACTTAATAAGGAATAATGACAACAAATAAATCCAATAGCAGGATTGGGAAATATTTCACCGATATATTTCTTCTATAATTTAAAATACGTAAATACCTTTCATGTTTATTGAAACTAAGCGAGGAGTACATGTATGGATGCCCTGCAAATATTCAAGCAATAACGGTGTAAGCACAAAAACAGCACTTTAAGGAATATAGCTAGTGTTTGAAGTTGTTGAACCATCTAATCTACAAAGATATGGGATACCTCAAGAATAGTTACAAAAGTCCAAATATGACATTTCATTGAATTTTCAGTCCCAACTCTTTTAGTATTTTTGTACAGATCTTATTTTCCACCAAGTTTGATACACTTCTAAACAGAAAAATTCAGAGGAAAAAAAATCATAAAATGCCAATTTAAATACAAAAAAGTTGCACCTGTTGTGTCTCACCAGTTCGGTAAAGCACATCCATGTTAAGATCGTGATCGTTGAAGACTGGATCGCCATGGGGATCCCCCGCAAGCCCCAGCAACTCATCCTGTACAATATATCAGAAGATTGAATTATTGAGCAATAAACATGCTCAAAATACTCTTAACGAGTGAAGCGCTAATATCAATTGCGAGAAAAGCAAACAGGATTTAAGTAAAAAATGCTGGTTATATATTGCAGTCATTCAACTTGAAGAAAAGAAAATTAACATCATGTGAACCAAAAAAGAAAAAACAGATCAAATTCAGCAGAAGAGCCATAAATTAAAGAACAATTTCCAAACACAAAAGAGGTTAAAGGCAGGTTGCGATGAAATATTCGTCTGAGTATATATGATCTCTGAAAAACAGAAATATGCAATCAGTTTCATAAACAGATATGAAAGCAGACGCGAGCCAAATTTTTCAAGAAATCAAATTTGAACTGAGGTTTTGAAAGGAAGGAAGAGAGCAGAAGATCGGCAGCTGCGGAATATCGTGGCTGATAGCATCATAATAAGTACTTCGTTGATCCAAATACAAATCGTAAGTTCTGCTTCCTCGCTTTAGGTAACTAACACAAACATAGAGCTTTCAAGTATTACTCACTAAGACTTGTTCCGAAGGGGATAAAGGATGAGGAGAAACAGGAGCAGAGAGCCTTACTGAGGAGAAACAAGATAAGTAAATAAATAAGCATTAATATACATATTCAAACCTGGAAGTTCCAGAAGTGAGAACCAATGAAATTCGCGTAGTCACCAACTTGAATAGTCACAATTTCTTTCATATTTTCTGACGGAAAGGGATGACCAGTTATTTACTTGCAAGTAAAAGGGCATGGATTTCAGAACTCAGAATCAGCAGGAAATAAGACAATAAGTGTTCTTCACATTACCTGGATTGAGCAGAGCAGTGATTAACAGTTACCGCGTACTTCACGGTTTTTGGCGGCAAAGAAAAGATGCAGACTTGCTCAGGATGGCAGCAATAAGCCAACTTCACCGGCGACCTCTTGAAAATGAAGAACAGAGAAAACCGTGGGCCGGTCTAGCCCAGCTTCTGTTCTTTACAGACTGGGTTGGGCTGCTTTGGGGGACTTTTGTTAGGGCTGGATAGCTTAATGATTTTGAATCAAGTAGTTACATCACATGATAATACTTTAATATTACCTCATGTCCTTAATATAAAAACTAGTGACCGATTTAAATAGATTAAGAAAACTAGTTAAATTAGTTATTTGTAATAAATAGATATTGTATTTCTTAAAATATCTTTGCTAATCAAGTGTATTGGCTAGAACTACCATTATTACAAGATTACTTTGAAAAAAATAGATAAATATAAGAGACAAAATAGATTGGGGTCTTATATTTAGAACCAAGATAAAAATCAAACAAGCTCTTATATTAAGAATCAGATGTAGTAATTACTACCTCTAATCCTATAAGAATATTGTTTGTATAAATAAGGTTTTATAATTAGGATCAGACTTAAAAATGGGGAAATCATGTTTAAGGATCTGGGTAGAAACCTTCATCACCTCAAGTACCCTGGTCAGTAGCCGGAAAAAATATTTCAATAATGAGTGCCCCTATAAGAAATAAAGCAGCATATAACCCCAAATTATAAAATTGGCTAGATTGAGTGCACTTTTTCCTGTGCTCACATGTTCACTACTAAATCTATACTTACCCCTTGAAATCAATACATGATCACGCTGCACTTGATTATAACATTAATTTGTTTTATTACAATATAAAACATTGAAAAATATTTTCAAAATTATATTTTAATATTAATTTTCAGATTAAACATAAATCAGTTGATTTTCAGGACTATTGTAAGAGTATATTTTTTCCGGAAAAAAAAGAATATATTTTTTTGCCACATCATTTATAATAAATGAAATTTATAAAACTAATTTATCTGTATTGGTAACACATATGAAAATTGTTATATTATACGGGTAATGAATATAAAGTCAATTTGTTTAAATAAGTATTGCTCTAATTGATCTTTTGGTCATAATAGAGAAAATTTTATATTTTCCAAAATTTCAGAAGTTGGTGTACTTTAAACACTTCTACTATAAAAGTAGCATAAATTATTCAATGATTTATCATCTTTTTGTCAGAAAAATCTAAAAATTATTGTGATCCCTTTTTTGTCGCACTGGCATTTTTTCAGGCTGAGAAGTATGGCCGGAATTGAGAAATATTTTCCCCAGTGTTTTTTTTTTTCGCGCGGTGGCACTTTTTTTTTTTTTTGGCCGTCAGTACACGGATAATGGCGTCAATGATACTCACAGTACAGATATTAATTTTGGTCAGATATTTACACGGGAGGGACTCTGCCATGCAAATGTAAAGCTAACGCTCCTAATGTTTGACGACAAAAATAATAAACTTGAGTGTACCTCCTCCTTAATATAAAATCTTGATTTTTATTTTAATCCTAAATATAAGATTTTAATTTATTTTATATTTTATTTATTTATTAGTTTTTTAAAGGAATTTGAAGGGTGTTTTTTTTTTTTTTTCCTCTGGTCATAAGGATTTGAAGGGTGTTTAGTTACGTACAATGGATAATTTAGAAAATGTGCCCCGACTATTATTTAAGATGCAGTAGAAATGACAAGGAACGAAGAGAAGCAATCAAGTAAAGTTCCATTTGTCAGCGCCCGATCTCCTCTGGTTTATCCATTAGACAGCTCATTTTCATTTGCCCATTAGATTAAAACAATTACGAAGCATGGTCTCCCTATGATCACGCCTTAGTAGTAATCTGGGAGCAGTATGAAACAAACCAACTTGAGATCCGGCCAGAGTGCAGAAGAGCAGGCCTACATGAGATTGAGTTCGTCAATATTCCCAGGCAGTCGTGGATGGCGAAGCCAAATTTGCACTGTGATCTACGAAGCAGATAATATTGTTTGTATCATCTGTTGGGTTTTTGGAGTCTGACTGGAATTAATATTGAGATGGAACTCTGAAAAGCTGAACTAATTTTCAATGAAAAGAAGGGCCAATCATATATATGCATAACCGGTTTGTTAGCTTTGGGGATGGATTAATTTAAAGAGGCCCCTGTTGACCATAACTGAAAAGGTTCTTTTGCAGGTGGATTTAGTGTCAACATTTGCACAATGTCCAAGACTGAAAAGCCAAACCTCAATCTCAAAGTCATATTTTAAGGAACACGCTGCAGAAACAGAAGTAACATCTGAATTTCATACAATAGAATTACGGGAATTACGAGTCATGTTGCTACCTAAAATTTATACTGGCTAAAGTGGTTATAACAAAAACCTCTCCAAAACCAGAGGAAGAAGACTTCGTCAACTCTGTGATACTTCAACTATTATCTCCAGAGTAGAGTCTCAAAAACATTAATTCGATCCCTTCTATATGTTAGGCCTCTTATTTTACTGCCGTCAAATCCTGGGTCTGGTTCCATTATTTACCTGTGAAACAAAAAAAAGGCGTCAATTTAAGACAGCACATCAGCTTCCGCTTGCTGTTGCAGACCACCCTTCCAACTATGGCAGTCTGATTTCTCATCTTCTTCGCCATCTCCAGAGCTCGATAGACCCTTAGCAGAACCTCCGAGGAGGAGAGGTCCTTGGGGAGAACCAGACTGTGATAAGTTTATTTTTGACTTTTCTCCGCATTGATCTTCTACCATCCATAAGCCATTTCCTTGGTTAATTGTTGAAGCCGGAAGTCTTCTCACATGAAGTCTGTACTTCTGTATAAACCCCAGAAATACGTCAAGCGGCGGAAAACAAAAAGCTACAAATGTGCAGAGACGTAATCAGGGAATTACTTACTTGCAAATGGCTTTTCACTTCATCGTTTGTTAGGCCTTCCACCTGCATTAATTCTCTAATCTGTTTAGGAGTGGCCACTGAAAAGGAAAAATAGAACAGATCTGTTAGACCCAAAATCCACTTCAAATAAGCATGAATCGCACGATGTTAGGCAATAATAAATCCCTATGAGAGCTTACCTAATTTTAAGAATCGGTTCAATTCTAGAATTTTCCTAATCCAGAGAAATTAAAGACTCTTTGTTTGTTAAATTTTACCTTGAGCTCCCCCCAGTTGTTGAAGCGCGTCAACAAATCGCCGGTGAAGCTCCGGAGACCAGCATCGCCTTTGTTTTCTAGGATTTTGCTGCAAGTGTTGTGTTTGTGGTTGGACTTGTCCGTCAAGCTGGCCTGTAAGGAAAGACGCACCCGAACAATTTCTGCTACAAGTTTTTGAATTCTTGAGATTGAGTTCGGACGCCGGAGTCATCAAGCTAAGACTAGGAACTTGTGAGATTTCCTTGTCTTCCTTCGTCACTGGCTTTGACATAACCAAATTTCCATTAAAGGGGATAAATGCCCCACCTCTGTTTTTCAGATTTCGTGAATGAATTGGGTTCTCCGGCACAGACCGATCATTTTCACTTCCCTGAAAGTACCAAAAGAAGTTGTTTATTGTTACCTTAGCTCGCCAAATTTACTTGCAGATTACAATATTTTCTGAAAATCATCTGCTGAAATTGGAATTTGAAGGAAGACGTCGGAATTACCAATTTGGTTTCAGCACTCCACAGTTGAGCGGAGTTCATCCAGTTCTTCTTGTCACAGCTATCTTTTTCCATAGTTAATTGTCGGTTCTCTCCAGAATTTGCTTTCAACGGTATGAATTCTTCAATCTCGGGTCGGTCTAGCACTTCCACCAACCGTACTTTCTCCTCCTTCAACCTCGTTATAGCTGCCCGGCCAAGAAAAAGTATCAGCAAAAATTTCACAAAAAAACATCATAAACAAATTCCCCCCCCCCCCAAAAAGAAAAAAGAAAATCCAAGGATAGAACCTACCATCGTTCACGAGCAGCATGCAGAGTGGAAGCTCCCGTTTGAAGGCTTCGATCTTCCTCATTTCATCCTCCAATCTCTTGACAAAGTCATCAAGCATCGCTAATTTCTCGTGCCTATCTCCGGTCTTAGCAACCTCACGAAGAAACTCAGAAATAGTTTTGGGAACAAAAGACAAACTCAAATCCAAGCTCAAGTCCATCTTAGGGGTATTATTCTGTCACAACTGGGTGTCGGCTTCAGTGTTTCGCTAGCATGACCGAGATAGAGATGATAACGAAGGAGGAAGAAGAGGATAGAGATTCATTTATATACAAGGGAAATTCAGATTCAGGACAAAAAGATTCGATGCTCGTACTCGGGGCGTCGCGTCTCTATTGCCGAGGGCGGGCCTGTCTGAAATCCTTGAAATTCTTAGCTTTTCACTGTTACCATAATATGAGTTGGGTAAAAGATGTAAAGTTGATTAAAAAAATTAAGGATTGCAAAATAAGGCCATTCTAGCACATAAACCTATAATTTGATACTTTGTTTTTTCCGTGATGTCTCGTCCATATTATATAATTTATAAAATAAATGGCATATTCAAGACAAAAAAAAAATACTATTTCGTAAATTATAACAGAGATTAAAAATAAAAATAAAAATATCCAATATTTAAAAGGCATTTTAACATCTCATTTTCAGAATATATAATCTATTTATATTAATCAAACTAATAGTTAAGATAATGATTCAAAATATACATAAAATAATGAAAGCTTTGGGTACTATACTTGTTGTAGAGTTATAACATTACTCATAACACTTAAGAAATGTAATGTTTCTAAAAATGTAATGGAAATATTTAAATCACCGGCCTCTATTTATATTACACCCAACCTGAAATAATGAAAAATTACCCCTATCGATAAATTGGCAGCATGTTACTGTTTTTCTCAGGAAAAAAAAAACTTCGACAAAGTTATAAAGTTTAATTATATGGTCAGTAAGATATTCAAAGTTCGTACTTAACGCGGCGAATTGTGAATTAATCATTCTTGCTACGAATTAAATAAGGCTTGTTCTCTCGATTAGTGCGCCAGTGAACTTT